ATAGGCTGTGCCGCATCGCATCACCGGGCTGAGTTCACAAATTATAGCTTTCCCAATGCTCACAATCGACACGCTCAATTGCGTGATAAACGGCACAACTTAGCGCTCCGGTCAACTGATAGCTTCTGAGGAGTGGAACATCATTTCGTAGTCGACTATACATGCACGCGAAATGGGTACTTCTCCCTGCTACCCTCTATCCCCACGACAGAGAAGTTTACTGCCAGCTTTATCTGCCGTACCTATTGCAGATCTCTAAAACGGTGCATATGCGTCAAAATGATCTCGCAATCAACAGCATCTACTTCTTCTACAGGTGATACTGATGCCTTTTGTGGCTGTGTGGAATGCTAATCCTGCAATTGTTATGGAATCACAAATACATTATTACGATACCCTCTATCTGCAAACCGGACAATATGCTTTCGGTTGTTTATGTCGGCGAACCTTATTCTCGACATATCCGTGCGATTTCAACATTAATCACATTGTTACACTATGAAAACATTACCGGAGACGAAATAATCATTTTGAAGAATAGCGTGGCATTTGTTACCTATGCATTACAAATTACAATGCACATTACCTTACACATTTTATGGGCACCGATGAACTCTGAAGTCCGGTCGCCCTATAATCACAAATCATTAATTACATTACACGTACCATACAACGATGATAATTCAGCTTAGCGCGAAATATTCTTGATCGAATCGGTGCTGCTCAGTGGCCCTTCCCTAAACCGAAAACATCATGCAGCAAGAAGTGTGCTAAATTTTTGCGTTCCGCTGTGTTTCAGGTCCGGTCGTATCAACCTCGTCCGCGGTCCGGCTGGTTCTCCGTTCTACGCTGTGGCCTGTGGTTTCTCGAGGAAGAAACCAACGCAAAGTCGACAGTTTATCCGGTGTTCCGCAGGCTTCTGCGTCGATCTGAGCTAACAAGGCTGGCTACATGGGCAGAGCGGCAGCTGCCAGCTGCCTTTGGCTGTCTAGTGGCTATACCGACATAGAAGATAGGTAACCACTTCAACTGCTGTTCGGTCTAAATCTGGCGAGCCCTATTCAAACTTCCCTAAAGCTGATAGCTGTCTGAGTCTCTGCTACGATGAAGCTCGTGCTTTCAGTTTTATGTCGTAACTCGTAAGGACAATTTCGTTACGTGTAGTTCGAGTGCCGTACAAACGGTTTCAGATTAGGATCTATTTTTGGGGAAAAACGACCATTCGCTTATGCGCACTATTCCCTTTTAATTGCTATCTTATCGTTTTACCATTATTGCCTTCTAATTTCTCATATGGCGGCCAGAAGTCCCTTTAATCCGGCACTGGCAGCCCCAGATTCTAGGATGACGAGGCCAGGGTCATCTCATTCCGGCTTCCACACTGCCCGCTACACTGTCGAGTGTCGCGTTTACATAACATTTTTGACGAGGCTCTAGCTCGTTTATTTGGCAATAATTTCGATGTAGTAGTATAACTATTCTATCTTCAACTATTTAGAGGGGATTAAGCACCATTGGCATCTTTTGCAACATCACGGACTGAGATATAAGCTTGCAACAAACCCTATGTAAACGCGTCTGTTGACAGGTCATTGGGATACTTTGCACCTATCAGTATCTATGGAGAGTCACCGCCTCAGCTGAATGCATTGCGTGCGGTCTACTGTGCAGGAAACGAGCAATGCTTGACGATTCCCATCCCCTCTGTTTTTCCCATAGAGCAACCTACAGAACGAGGCGGAGCGCCCGCCGCTGCAGATGGCGCCACCGGGACTGGCGAGCGACCTCCAGCAGCTGGCGCCGCCCTCGGTGGAGCTCACGCTGGCACAGATGGCAGCACCGTCGACTGGTCACCGGCGTCGGTGTTTCTCGAGCCGCTGAACCGCCCGGCCTGCACTGTCTATCACATTCACGCCCATCTATCATAAGTTATTAGTGCCCTCGGCGGAGCTCGCCGGTAACATAGATGGCAGCACCATCGCTAGAAGACCTCGACGGGCGTGGCGGTCCTTGTGAAATGTGAACTATATAACTAATATAGTGTAGTGAGCATCACGAGCGTGCTACTTACCACCATGAGACCACTGTCCGACTCACTTCTCTACCAGCTCAGTACCCAGTACCCACTGTCTGTCAGTTCCGAGGATTGATAAGAACTCGGAGCTTTGACGTGATCGCCGTTTTTGTCACGAATCTGATGTCGTGAATGTGATGATTGGCGATACTTGATGATGCTGTGCCGATCTCAAGCGATATTGTTTTGTCGTTCACTATTCCCTTTTAGCTCGAGGAAGAGGACATTGAGTTGAAATTGTGGGTATGACCTTAGGCAAGGGCTACATAAATACTGTGAACTCATAGGCATCGAAGGATGCGCAGTTGTTCGCTTATTGGATCTCAATTTGTGTCACTGGCAGTGCATTTCGAGTATGTGCCGCGATGCATCATGTGCTACGCGATAAGGGCATGTTCGATATTGCTATCTGCCGAGTTTGTTATCAGCCCGTGCTCTAAGCGTGTTGGCTGTGTGAATGTGGCATCGAAATGTGGCATGAATATGGTTTCGGGGCACGCGCTGATATGTCCAGTCAGCTCCCGAGAACAGATTCAGTGAGCGCTGACCGCAACTAGATGCTCGTAGCGCAGGCATCGAAGTCGTCTGTCTCATCTCATCACCTGTCGCTGTCCGATATAGGAACGGCCGTGCTCGGTGTCATCTCATCATTTGTCGCCATTTTGTCGCTCTCTGTTGTTGGAAACAGTGCCCTGGATGCTGGTATGAAAGTTTTTATTGAATATAATGGCCAATAAAACGCACATGAGCCAAATGTCTTGATGGAGTTTGCTGAATTGGGCCTTCCACCGAGGTAGAAATGCCGGGGAACACTGAAAATAGCGACATAAAGATGGCAGTTAGTCGAAGAATAGAGGTCTCTGGGACTCGCAAGACCAGACTAGATGGCAGCACAGAAGGCTAAACGGCTGAAAACACGCTCCAGAAACCCAGAGCTTCGTCCACAAGCCGCACCAAACCATGTATCGATGCCACTATAATACGGTCTAATGCGCTTGGAAGTGGGCGGAGCCTAAATAGCCCTCAAACTGAGATCGGTATAAGGCACTTCCAGGCGCCCCAACGGGTTTACCCTGGTGGCCGAGTGGATAGCGTGACGTCAGCATGCATTTTAGACTTTTGAAGGTTTGGGGTTCGAGACCCGTTTATGACGGAAAAATTTATCGTAAGTATGGGTGTTTCCGGGTCTCGAACCCAAAACCTCCGAAAGTCTAAAATGCATGCTGACGTCACGCTAACCACTCGGCCACCAGGGCAAACCCGTTGGGGTACCTGTGAGCGCATTATACCGATCTCAGTTTTAGGGCCAATTTGGCTCCGCCCACTTCTGCCCCATCGCCACGCCTTCTTTGGTGACGTAGGGACGCATCGCCGGGAATAAAGTCGCGTTTCATTGGTCGTTTGAAAACTGATCACTGTCCCTGAGCAGCTTTTCGTCTCGTATCAGTCTCGTATTCTCCTTGCTCTTTGTCGAAGGTAATTCTCACGCGGCACCCAGCCCACCTCCCTCCGATCCATCTCTAAAAGAGGCATTAGAACTTCACGCGTTTATTGAGACAGTAGTCAACAAACAAATATCAAATGGTTTCTCTAGGAAGGGGGAGGGTATCGTTGCATGGACCGAACAGTCTCGAAGCCGGGGGGGGGGGGGGGCGGAACGCCTCGGGCAAGGTCAGGCAGGTCAGTGCTGCCTCGCCGGGTGGCGGACGGGGCGGCGCCGGCGGCAGTCCGTTCCTGGCAGCTAGACCGGCCCGCCGAGCCGATTGACCCGATGATGACCTCTGATGGCCGCGGGCGGTGACAGCCGCCAATCTGGGCCGTCTGGGAGCGAGTGGAGACCGGAAAGGGGAAGCTAGGGGGGGGGGGAGGGACAGGAGAGGGAGGGTCAGGGTGCCACGGATTGAGGGAACGACTACAGGGAAGACTGGCCCCGCACGCAGGGAGCGGCATTACGCTTAGGTAGCGGCTACACAACAGTGCAAAGGACACATCGGAAAAAGTGAGACAATACACATTGAGCGGACAATATGATAGGGCACTTATCAATTTTTCTTTTTTATTTCTTACAAAATCATACAAATAATGATGATACAGAGCAATGGACAGTTTTGATAAATATCTATAAAAAAACAACAGCCCCACAACCTCATACTACCAATCTAAGCGACATGGAAAAATACATAAGATCATTACAATACAGAGCATTGCTTCTAAAGTCGACTCGACATCAGTCTCATCGCTAATCTAGCGAAGATACATGTAGTAGGATGGATATCAATAGACTTCATTCGTTGTCTCAAAATGCTAACGACAAGCACTACGGCCGGTTTCAGTACACCAGCTTGACGACTCATCCGCCAACACCGCAATATTCTAGCTTCTAAATGTTCCACACAAGTCTCTGGTCCTAAATAACTGCCCAAATATGGCTTCGTCGAGCAAACCACCGAACATTGTACATGGTTCGCATTTGGAGAAGTCAATGTTCTAGAAAATAAATAGCGCATAATGGAGCGTAAAACACCGAGGCGTTTAAAGAACTCGTTGATACAACCATCACAGCGAAAAGCGAGCAAACGAATAGATTACATACGAGCAAATCCAGGATGCAGACAGAGAAAGGACAATTATGAACAGAAAATATGTCGAAAGGCAATAACTCCTTCAATCTTTTGCCTTATCGCTCAACAAGTTGTTGCGATAATTGATGTAATTCAGATAGTTCATCATCAAAAGCTAGACGTACACATTTGCTTTCTGCACCTCTCGCTAAGTTCTCTGTTGATTTATACATTTTTTTTTTTATAATTTATAAGTCGCCCTTCATTCACTGCGGTCGCATCTCTTACCGGCATTCATCGCAATCTTAACATCTACATAGGTGGTATTCAGTGCATGCTCAACGATTGATATTCACTGCATGCCCTCCAAACGGCAGTACTCCCAAAGTACTTGGTACGGCAGGCATTCATTGCAATGCCGATACACTTTCAGTCTCGAATCGCTACGGGGTCACTATAGCCGGGATTCACTGCATCCCCTCTCATGCCGGTATTCACTGCAGGCCTCCCGCCGGTATTCTCTGCAACTCTGCCTTCAACCGGAATTCAGTATAGTTCTGACACCACCTCTGGCTCGGATTCACTGCAGACCCTCCTCCTGCCTGTATTCACTGCAGCTCGGACACCAGCTCTGGCCAGGATTCACTGCAGACCCTCCTCCCTCCCGCCGGTATTCACTGCAGCTCGGACACCAACTCTGGCCAGGATTCACTGCAGACCCTGCTTCCGCCGGTATTCACTGCAGCTCGGACACCAGCTCGGGCCGGCCGTCTCTACCGACACTCAGTCGTCGATGGCGACTATCTGCGCCGGACTGCTGGGCGGCCGTCGGCGGCGGCGGAGGCACCCCCGGTAGTCGCTCTCGTGCCGGTACCACACCAGGGATTGTGGGTCCCAGGGGCAGAGTCGGAGAGGAGTACCGTCCCAGGGTCGCGTAATCGGCTGAAACGGGGAAACAGGTCCGAGTTAGACGGGAGTGAGTGAGTGAGTGAGAGAGAGGGAGAGGGAGAGGGAGAGGGAGAGGGAGAGGGAGAGGGAGAGGGAGAGGGAGAGGGAGAGGGAGAGGGAGAGGGAGAGGGAGAGGGAGAGGGAGAGGGAGAGGGAGAGGGAGAGGGAGAGGGAGAGGGAGAGGGAGAGGGAGAGGGAGAGGGAGAGGGAGAGGGAGAGGGAGAGAGAGAGAGAGAGAGAGAGAGAGAGGAGAGAGAGAGAGAGAGAGAGAGAGAGAGAGAGAGAGAGGAGAGAGAGAGAGAGAGAGAGAGAGAGAGAGAGAGAGAGAGAGAGAGAGAGAGAGAGAGAGAGCAGTGACAGCGGGAGCGATTTGCATTGAGTTTGAGTTTCGTACGGCTTGTCAATTAGGACTGGTGTCTCACAAGTTCTGTAAGCAGACATCATCCACGGTAACCATGCTGGCACATAGCTACCAAAAGTCTGCTGCTCTAACACTTCACAAACTGCTACAGCAACAAAACAAATAACCTGCTTCTTTTAAAAACGAGTTCCATGTAACTTTGAACACCTCACCATATTGTCGCTAAAGCTCTTGAAAGCAGGTTCATACGTTCAACAGCCCTCCCGTTACCTGTGTCTCCGTTATGACTATGTTGCCTGCCTCTCCGTTGGGACTATATTTCCAGAGTCTGTTGGGAATATGTTATCTGCACTCTGTTAGGGCCATGCTTCGTTACCTGTGTCTCCGTTGGGACTATGGTCCTTTACCTGCCTCTCCGTTGGGACTATGTTTCCCGTGTCTGTTGGGACTATGCGCTGTTACCTGTATCTTCGTTGGGACTATGTTTACAGTATCTGTTCGGGACTATACGCTGTACCTGTGTGTACCTGTAACTATACCTGTAACACGGGCGGGATACCTGGTACAATGACATGCTTGTGACCCCCACGGTCAGGTCAGAGTCCGGACGTCGCCGTTTTCTGTACTCTGCGGTGTCAGGGTACAACGAGCTGCCGGCGGACCTGCGCGCTCTTAGTCAGGCTCGATTCAAGCCGGCACTGAGGGAGCATTTGTTTGACCGCGAGCGAGCCACTTAGCTGTCCTAGTTAGCACACGTGATGAGGGTGAATGTGTGAATGATTGCGGTGACTGTTGTCATATCCCATTCGATTTGTATATGCACAACGACTTGGACATAGAATAGCCGTGTTTCCACGGACATGTCTGTAATGTGAAATAAATAAATAAATAAATAAATAAATATACGTGTTACCTGTGTCTCCGTTGGGACTATGCGCTGTTACCTGTATCTCCGTTGGGACTATGCGCTGTTACCTGTATCTCCGTTGGGACTATGGCTGTTACCTGTATCTCCGTTGGGACTATGCGCTGTTACCGGTATCTCCGTTGGGACTATGTTCCGTTACCTGTATCTCCGTTGGGACTATGCGCTGTTACCTGTATCTCCGTTGGGACTATACGCTGTTACCTGTATCTCCGTTGGGACTATGTTTACAGTATCTGTTCGGGACTATATTCCGTTACCTGTATCTCCGTTGGGACTATGCGCTGTTACCTGTATCTCCGTTGGGACTATGCGCTGTTACCGGTATCTCCGTTGGGACTATGTTCCGTTACCTGTATCTCCGTTGGGACTATGCGCTGTTACCTGTATCTCCGTTGGGACTATGCGCTGTTACCTGTATCTCCGTTGGGACTATACGCTGTTACCTGTATCTCCGTTGGGACTATGTTTACGTTCGGGACTATATTCCTTTACCTGTATCTCCGTCGGACTATGTTCCATTACCTATATCTCCTTTGGGACTATGCGCTGTTACCTGTATCTCCGTTGGGACTATACGCTGTTACCTGTATCTACGTTGGGACTATGCGCTGTTACCTGTATCTCCGTTGGGACTATATTCCGCTAACTGTATCTCCGTTGGGACAATATTCCCTTACCTGTATCTCCGTTGGGACTATGTTCGGCCGGCTCGCCGGGCCGCTGGATGGTGGCGTAGGTATTCTGACCCTCCTCCTGAGGAGAGGGACTGTCCTCCACTCCTCCGGCCGCCTCAGGATCACCGGACACTTGCATGCTCAGCTCCTGCTCCTCGTACATCTGAAGGAGACGGAGACACGGGCCAAAGGAAGAGGTTAGAAGACATGTGTCGGCACAGATTTGTGACATGAAGGCCACAAATTGCTCAGATGACTTACGCTAGTTGTGCCTCACCTGTGACTGATAATATTTAATACTACCGCAATCAAACATTAACCATTTATAATTATTCACCTGAGTAATTATCACACGTGAATATTGTAAAATTGCATAACACTCATTCGTGTGAATCACGGTCGCTGAATATATTTCTGTAAGCATAATTATTCATCCACCAGACAGTCTTGATCCTACTCTCTTCGAGGCCTAGCTATCTTCATACTGTAAATCAAACGGTACAAATAATCACAGTCCTGAGCTCCGTTACTTTGAGTTTGTTTCCGATCCAGAGAGGGTTCTCGGTGCCAGGCGGTGTTTCGGGCTGATCCACAGAGGCCCGCGGAGTGGGCGGCTGCGGCGGCTGCTTCACCTGGCGACAGACGGCAGGCGAGGTCAGGGGCACAGTAGAACAGAGGTAGAGGAGCGCGGATGATGATATCAGACTGAATACGATGAATAACAAGATAAATATTGTCTTGACGGATCTGCATATCTAATACGCATCACCTCTATGGACCCGATAATCATTAAAATAAAACGATAATTTGGTGCTCAGTTGCAATCAAATATCGCATTACGTTGCTCAAATATTAGTCAGCATAACAAGAACAGGCCCAAATCTTCACAAACTTGATCTTGTTCTCACCAACAAACTCGACATTTGACCTCCAAATTTACCAGACGCCACCACCACCTCACCTGCTCCTTGTAGGAGGGCACGGCGACCGGCACGGTTTTTAGACAGCAGCAGACGGCGCAGAATGTCACCAGGCCGATCACCAGCACCAGCAGTAGTGCCACCAGCGTCACCAGCGTCTGATTCGTCTCGTGAGAGGTGGGCGCCGCGTCAGCCGCCTGACGAGAGAGACGTGCGCGCGTCAGAGGGGTTCAACTGGACTTTACTTGTCACTATTCTCGGCTTAGCAGGTTAAGGTAATCGACTGGGCTTTACTTGTCCCTAATTCTGGGTTAAGCAGGCTAAAGCAATCGACCCCAGGGAAACGGACATCAACGGAGATTCAGACAGAACAATAAGATAACCAGTAATGTATTGGACATCATCAAACGTAGTTAAGTTACCCTACATCCCACAATTACCGCATATTCCTCTCTGGCTTACGAAGTTCAATGCCAGCTGCCGTCGTAAAAACCCGCTTCAAGTCTCAATCCTTTCATGAGTCCCATCTGTGTGTACCTCTTTATGTGTCTATCTCCCTCCCTCCCCTCCCTGCCTTCCCCTCTATTCCTCCTTCCTCTCTCCTCCCACTTCTCACCTGCACTTTCTGTACGTTGAGCGCGCCATGCTCCCTCTGAATGTAGTCGTAGTGGAGGTCGAACGCTCGCAGCACCTCGCCAGTGGGTACAATCTGCTGCCGGCCGTCCGCCACGTGGAGGTACATGTCTGACCTGGAAATACACACATACAGAACACGTCAGGATTCGATCTGCGAATTATGAGAGACACGTCAGAGGGTATTATCTCCCACCTGGGAATACATGAAGGGACTCGTCAGGTGATCTCGTCAGGTCATGTGTGACCTGGGAATACACAAGGCACATCAGGGATATATCATACCTGGCAATAGATAGGGGAGGAATGTCTGCAACATATTCCACCTGTAAAGATATGGCAGTCACGTCCCCATACATTCCGGACATTGGGGATATATGACGGGGGGGGGGGGGGGGAGCGTCCGGCAAACACATACCTATCACCTAAAACAAAACACAATAAACTAATGCATTTTTTCATAAGTATTCACAACTTATGTATACAGGGTGTGGCAGAAAGATTTACCTCTTGATTTAAAAAAAAAATATTTCGGTCCCGAACAAAGATATTCAATTTATTTTTGGTACACGTATTCAGTAGCATGTCACATCTCAGCAACGGGACTATGAACCAATATGGCCACCTTTGGTCTTCACCCCTGTCCCGAAACCTCTCCCTGCGGAGAGGCGCGGGCGCCGCACGGTGTCCTCGTCGAAATTCGACCATGCCGTCTCGAGGGCCAGCTTCAGAGCGGCCATGCTGCTGTGTGGTGTTGCACACATCTCCCTCTCCAGGATGGCCCAGAAGGTGAAGTCCATCGGGCTCAGGCCCGGACTTGACGGTGGCCACATGTCCTTGTCCCAGAACCCAGGCATGTGGGTCTTCCACCATGCACTGTTGAATGAAGTTCGCCGTCTGAGACGACGCAATGTCCTGGACGACGACGTATCCGTCTCGGAACGACTGAGCGATCCAAGGCAGAGCATGTTCCTCTAGCAGATGGACATAAACGTGTAAGTTGACTTTCACACCCGCCTCGATGAAGATCAAGGGTTCTTTTGAGCCCTCGGATGCGACGGCAGCTCGAACCATGAAACCAGCAGGGTTGTGGCGACCAAAACTGGTCCGGATAACAGGATCAAACTGGATGTACCATCTACCGTTTATGATCCTCCTGATCGTTCTGGGCGAAAAATCGAGGTCCTTTGCCAGTTTGCGCATGCTTCGCCAAGGATTTCAAGACACCGTCTTGTGCAGTGTGCACGATGTTATCCAGCTTTTTGGTGCGGACATGCCTTGTTCTGTCTGAGATGGACTTCTTCGACACTGTACCTGTCTCTTTAAGACATTTCATTAGATTGTTAACAGTTTTCATGGCAACGCCGAGCTGTTTTGGAACGCTTCGGACGCTGTGGCCAGCCTGCATCGGAGCCGCAATTTGGGCTCTTTTTGTAATCTCCACCATAGCTCATCAACAACAATGACGAAAATAAAAGCGATCATGACAATTATACACGAGCCAGATGGGAAGCCCCATGCACAATTTTACTAAAATCCGTCCAAAACTTTTTGATTTATGGCCTGAAAACAAACAGGTAAATTTTTGTGCCCCGCCCTGTAAATAAGGCAGTAAGTACCAATCTACTATAGGCAAATACAAATGTCATTTGCTTAGCGGTGTTTGACCTCCCTGTCGCAAATATATAGGGCTCATTTGAACTAAAGAGAAGTGCTCTCACCCATCACCATGCCGCCCAGCCATTGCGGATTTATAGGCGGATTTGTAAGCGGGACAACTTAGACGACCCTTATTTGGCACGTGGCTCGTGCCGTGATCGTCGCCAGTTGCATAACGAGGGCGCGGGATATAACTTTAGAAGAGATGGGGCGAGCAGAGAGAGAAGACCACTAATAAACCGTTTAACGGCTTTTGATGTAAGCCATTCAAAGCTAGACTATGGCCCCCCTCCCGCTCAAATTCAAAATACCTTTAACCATATGGAAAAAAAACTAGCTATCCCGCTGCTCGTACTCATCTTTCTGATAGACCATAAGTTCAAGTATTTATTGCTAACATTTCAGCAACGTCCATTTGCATAAATGGCTCATGTGATGGGGTGACATGATCAATAAGTACACTGTACACTGTACATAGATGGCAAGGCCCGACCATGTTCCAACCAAGACAACACCGACACGGACTGAACTAGTCGAAATTCTACATAATCAAAAAAGTAGCCCAGCCACGCCACATGTCCAATATTGTTCAATATTGCCCTCGCCCCCCCCCCCCCCACTGACACAGTAGCGCCAGCCTATCAGCAGCAGATATCCAGAGCCTATGATCGCACTGCGCTGCGTCAAAACCCCATTGGTCGAAACCAGACCTCTCAAAACAGTCTAGGGGGTCAAGTGGGGCAGCACGGACGAGAGAACGGCAGAATCAGCACTTCATAACAATAACAGCCGACTATCTGCACTAAGAATAGACCGGCCTAACAATGGGCGGGCCTGAGCTGGCAGGCATTCGGCCGCTGCCTGGGAGGTCCTCTGTCACACAGTTCCACGGAACACGCTTGGTCTCAGCCTCCACGAGTCCGGCATCACGTTCCTCAGGCGGTTGTGTTCGGTGCGAACCGCAGGATCTTCACAGAGCTGACTGAAGAGGTGCATGTAGCACTGGTGCCTTCGCTGTGCCAGCTCACTATCCACACCTAACTGGGTGTGAAAACGGTCGCTGGTGTTGAAGAACGAGTCCAGGGCGTCTTGTTGATGCTTCTTCTTCGCATCTTCAAATGACTGACGAAAAATCTCCGAATGCGAAACCCCCATTTCCTCCAACGCATCCATGTGCTGACGATAGTTGGGCACACTTGCTTTGAGGACCGACACCAGCAGAGGGGTGTTGAGCAGCAGGTCACAGCGGTCACGTGGTGTCCTCAGGTCAGCGGGCAGACCGGCCGGCCGCTCTGTCTCGGGCTGGTCCTTGAGCCAGGCCCTCACAGCGGCAGGGTCCCAGAGCAGATGTTCCAAGTCGTCTTCAGTGAGCAGTGCCATCAGTGGGGCGGCGTCCCACTCGAAAATACCGCTCTCGTTCTCTGTCAGTCGCACCTGTTCGACTACCTCTTCCGGTGCGATCATCAGCGCATGGAGGAGGAATTTTCTCATGTGCCACCCGAAGGTGTACCTTCGGAACATACAACACACTTCTGCTGGGAGTGATGACACTGCAGCGAACTTGATTTGTGCATCAAGCCCACCAGCCTTCGCAAAACAGAAGCAAAAAGCTGTGTTCAGAAACACACCGTGAGTGATCATGCGGCGCATGAGAACTATACGAGCTTCTTGCTCTTGAAGTCTAGGCTGGGGCTGCTGCAGCAGCAACTGTGATAAATCCCAGTTGCTCTGGATCAACAGAGTCTTCATATGATCCCGGATGTGTCTGACCGTCTTCAGAGATGCCTTTCTCTCGGCCCTGTTCATCAGCTCCATGATGTTGATGTCCTTCCAGTAGAAGCACTTGAGCTCCTTAGTCTGGTAGGCTTTCTCCAGGTAGTCGAGGACTTGAAGGATGCCTTGAGAGACACTGCTCCAGCGCGGATGGCCTGCCTCTGCCTGACATAGCCAAAAGACAGCTGTCTTTAAGTGATAAGACTTGAGCATCTTACCCGGCAGGTTCGCACACTTTTTGCATGCCTTCATGGTCTTGATCACACTCCTTGGTATCTGGTCGAGGTACAGCACAGTGATCACTTCAGCCCGGGAGAAGGACCAGCGCCATTCGAGGTGTTCCGTCGCGCTGCCCGGGGCACCTACTGGCACAAGGTGCAGGCCGAACTCTCTTATGTCACTCAGAGCGGCCTCTGGCAGCCACCCCGACTCACGACATCTCGTGAAGAATTCATCGGAGGGCCAGTAGATCACGTGCAGACAGAGTATCCGGTCTATAAGCGCTACTCCGTACTCCAAATGTGGTTTTTCCAGATTTGGTTCGTCGAATATCTGTGGCTTGACGTAAGAGATGGCCGGTCCATGGATGCTCAACTCTGCTCGCGGCTGCACAGCCAGCTCAAGTTCAATGCAGTACTGTCGGACGTCTTGGGCCGAGAACAGCAGGGGCTCTGTGTGCGTACACTCGGGCCGGGGCTGCTGCAGCACCCTGACGAAGCCCAGGTGGCTGGTGGGAGCGAGCATCAGCCGGGGTGTGTCCGAGCCGTTGGCGGTCTCGGCTTGACCTCCAGGTACCTTCTCAGTTCCAACGGCCTCAGAGTCTGCTGAAACCCACTGCACGGGGCCGAGAGTGTACATCAAGTCCTCGTCTGAATAGCTTCCATAAGCTAGATCCGCATCGTCAATGGTGAGCTGTTCGGCCTGACTTCCAGAGATGGAGCCGCTCTGTATAAAAAGGCGTCCGAACGGCGAGCACCTCTCACAGTTAGCCCTCTCCAGTTGTAGGGCCTGCTGCCAGGGTTGTGACCAGAGGCGTGCAAAGGTGTGACCACTCTGGTCATTGCACTGTTGAATGAGAAAATTGAACGGCGCGTAGAACGGGTCTTTTGCGGTGATCCAACAGTCAATCGCTGGCAGCAGGAAGGTGTTGTACTGCCTGACTAGGCGGCTTATCTTGTCTTTGGATATGTGCTTCATCCCTGGAAGTGGGCCGAGATCACGTAACGGTGTTACATGGCCTTCAGCCATGTCGTTTGGGTTCTAGGAGCCCGCACTGGATCATCGGCACCCACAGTCCCTCCGCCGTGAGTGTCGGAGTGAAACGCCGCACTGCTCACTGGTCACCCTCTGCGCCGACTAGCCGACGGCCACCGCTGCCAGCCGCTAACCCGTCACTCAACCATGTGCAGAGGCGGATCCAGCTCAGAGTTTGGGGGGGGGGGGTAAACCATAACAATTTATCGATTCTTTCCATGCATCGTCCATAGGCGTAATGTTAAAATCATGCCGTTGGGGGGGGGGGGGGGGCAAATGCCCATTTTGCCCCCCCCCCCCTGGATCCGCCACTGACCATGTGCACAGTGCAGACGGAATCACCGCCGCCTTTGTGCAATGCTCCGCCGCGACACGCCAGCAGGCTCATGTAAACATCACGTACCCGGGGCCATGTTTATGGCCGGCAGCGGGCGATTATTTACTCAAACCACCAGGCCCTGGAGAAATAGTGTGGTACTGGGGCTGCAACGACGGGAAGGGTTATTTTCGACACACAGGTGTTGGGTTGGTGCTGTGTCGAGTGGCTTAGTACCGGTTTCGTTCGATTCCTTTTGGACGGCCATGCATTTTTTAAAATGCATGTAAATGTTAATGCTATTTTAACTAAATTGGCATGTTAAAATGCCATTTTAACATGAAAAAAAATCAATCGCAACGCGATGCCCGTGTCGGATTAACTTGCACTCTATGGACTATGGAAGGGATATAAAAAACTGATGGCAAGATATTGAAAGATATGGTTAAAACCCATCGATGAATTTCGCTAAAAATGATCATCTAATAGTTGGAAAATGCAAACTTTAAAGAACATGATCGCAGGTATGTAATCCAAAAATATTATGTGGATCACACACAAAATTATATGAGCTTTAAAACGGTAAACTTTTTATAGTCAAACCAAAAATGCTATCTTCTCTAGCAATTTGCAGCAAGTTAATCTCAATCAAATGGCTTCTTTTTCCATGTGAGACGGTAATCTTGCCGAAAGGCATTGTTTCACTCGTTACGTCACACTTACCCTGAAAACGACATTGATTAAAAAAAAATGGCAATTTTATCTCATGAAAGTATCATCACTGGTGTACGAAGAGGGTGCTACCTTCTGAATCGCGCAATATTCGACAATTCGTTCAATTGTCTACACGATGCTGTTTTTCCTATGCCGATCGGACACCCGGTTACCGAGATATCACACAGGGGTCTGACACGTGCCGCCCAAATTTAGCCGTCTTCGCCTGATTTTGCATCTTCTTTACTTGCTATGCTTATGACGGAAATATGCACTCTTTGGGCACGCAGCTGAATATCGACCCGATCGAGCTCAGAACCCTCAAAGGCACGTCGCGCATCCTTGGTCTTAAAGTTGTGCAAATTTCACCGC